CGTCTTTAGTCATTAGTGTTCAGTGTGGCAAATCTTTTCTTGGAATGGTCTCTAAATTCAGGTAGGATATACTTCAGGTCGATTTTGGTTCTTGTGGACTTGTTTTAATTTTCTTCAGTGTCAGCTGGAACTTGCATATGAGCAATTGATGGTCTGTTCCGCATTCGGCCCCTGGCCTTATTCTGACTGATGATATTGAGCTTTTCCATTATCTCTTTCCAGAAATGTAGTCGATTTGAATCCTGTGCTGTCCATTTGATGAGGTCCATGTGTATAGTTGCTGTTTACTTTGTTGACAAAAGATATTTGCCATGAATAAGTCTTGGAAAATTCTATCATATGATCTCCAGCATCGTTTCTATCACCAAGGCCATATTAAAAGTCTGGATTCCACAAGAATTAAAATCTCTGTTACTCGTAGTTATACATATAGATAGAATTTTGTAGCCTGATCTTTCCATTTAATATTAATAGTGAATATTTTTCTGTTTTATGGAAAATGTAGTAATTTTTAAACTCCTTAATATTTCTGATTATTAAAAAAAGAGAAATGTAGCTCTTTGGGAAGAAAGAATAAAAATCACCTGTAATCCCATAATCATTTGTTTTTCATGACTTGAGATCATATCACATAATAATGTGTATAGCAAACATTTTTAAATGGTTTTAAATTTTTTATAAATGTAAATTTTCAAGACTCTTGTGAATGTCACTCAAACACTTCTGAGTTAAGGGGAAGATGATTCCAAATTTGAAAACCACTGATCTTCTTTATGGTTGTACCATAATTTATTTAGTCACTCTTCTGCTTTTGCATTTAGGTTGCTTTTAAACTTCCCCATTAAAATTAATATGATAAGAAATTCAGTGCAGAAAGCTTTTTCTGGGGTAGAAATTTTGGATCAGCTGGTATGAATAGTTTTAAGGTTCTTTAAATATCATTGCCAAGGTGTGTTCCAAAATTTGTTTCCCTGTGAGGGGTTTTCTTTTAAATTGAGTCATTTTTAAAAAAACAGATATTAAAATCTGCTAACTTCATTAATTGATGTCATAAAACCTTAAAATATATATACCAAAACACTAATTTAGTGGTTTGTGTTGCTAGCAGAGATAGCTCACCATCTTCTTGCTTTTGGTAGATTCAGAGTCTTGACCTGAGCCTGGTCCTCGTTCTGAAAGCTTGAGGAATTCATGGAGATAATAAATCCCAGGAACCCGTCGTACCTCCCTGTTTTAATAGCCATGATTTGAACATACCTACCATGACCTGTTTTAAGATTTAAATTGAGAAAGACTGAACCACTGCCATGAGAAAAATGCCAAAAAAATTGCTCTTTGCCCCCTAGTAAAGTTCCTAAATGATGAGGTGCCATTTTAGGGCCTTCTAAATATATCATTCCAAATTCATGTGACTGTTTTTTGCTTTATGGCAGTAAAAGCTGCAGAGTTTCATTTGAGCTATCACTCAATTATCTTTAAGGAGATAGTGTATGCATAAGTTCTTTGTAAACTGTGAATCATCATACAGATGTAATGTGGTTTTCTATTTTTAATATGATGATCAGCCACCACTGACATTTGTTTTCTTTTTCAGTGTTTTATGTCAGTGTTATAGATGAATCTGTTCATACAATGTGTTATTTGTATTTATTCTTTCTGCTCCTTTTTTCTTTGTTAATCAAAGATAGGGTTTTAGCAGGGAGTGAAAGCAAGTATTACAATCGTTTGCTTTTGGCTTGAGGTAATGCGGATTATGCGCATTATTGGACAATCATGCCAATTAAGGGCAACCCAGGGTCCTGGAAAATTGCCAACATAGACTGGAAGCCAAAATTTTGAAGCAGTGCCACTAGTGTGAAGAAAGGAAATGAGACACATTTATGTGTATTTTTTTAGTATGTCCATATGGTCAAACGGCTACATAAAAAAGGGACCATCCTCTCAAGAGAATGGCTGATCTTCCCTTAGATGGATGTGCATTTTGATTTTGTGGTTGTTAAGTGGATTGGGTAGCTACTTTGATGCTGTTCTAGTAACTATCGAGAAGCTGGCCAGGGGCCAAGCCCAGAGAAACACAAGCATAGTTAAGCACAACTGCTCCCAACTGTTCCCTTCCATTGTGGCAGTACTTTGTCTAGAAAACAACAGCAGAAGGTAGGGGGTTTTGTTTTATCTTGTTTTAATGAAAAAAAGTAGAAAGCATATAGCTTCTGAATTGACTTTGTTTCTTAGGTTCCACGGCATGATCTCCAGAGAAGCAGCAGACCAGTTCTTGAGTGTGGCTGAGGGGAGCTACCTCATTCGGGAGAGTCAGCGTCAGCCAGGAACCTACACTCTGGCTTTAAGGTTGGTCCTGGACCTGTAATTATAACTGTGTTTCATTTAAAACCCTCTTAACAGAGGGCTTTAAATTTTAAAAGCATCCAGCATGTAATTGAATTGGTTCTTGTTTTCTTGGGGCCTAATTACCATTTTAATAGCTTTGAGACCCTTAAAAATTCCTCATGAATGGTAGCACTCAGCTTACTAATTAAGAATTGAAAAACTTTTTTAAAGCATTTTTATTGTAGCTGCTTCCTTCCACTGCATCTTACCCCTTGTCTCCCATTGCTCCTGCTTTGTCAGCTCCCATGTATTTCTTGAATAAGGAAAGGGACTAAGAGAAAAGATCTTTGTGGCTTTCAGTTGAAGCAGCTTTTCTTGGGCGCCCTTGGCTCTTTCCAATCAATGAAAATACCCAGCATTTTGACTGTTTTAACTTATACTCTAGTGCCCATAACCAACTATTCCAATTAAACTTGCAATAATAATATAACAATAATAACAATAACATGCTTATCCATTGGGCTTACCTCATGCCAGGCCTCTAACCTCATTTAATCCTCACAACAACTCTATGATGTGTCTACTCTTATTATCCCCACTTTACAGATGAGGAAACAGAGGACAGACAGGTTGAGTAACTTGGCCAAAGATCACAGGTTTAATAATTGATGGAGCTGGGATTTGGACCTAGACAGTCTGGCTTCAGAGACTGTGCTGTAATCACTCTACATTGCTGACTCTGCAAAGATTTGAAATAATTATCCATTGTCTTTGTTCATTCCTTCGTATGCTTATCCATGCATTCATTCATCCATTCTTGGAAAAGACTTACAAATAGCAACCTCCTAAGGAAGAAGTCAAAGAAATGACGCTTCTTTTGGTAGCCAAACCTTAGAAAGGATACAAAGATATTAGTGCTTACGACTCTTAACGCGATCATGTCTGACTCCTCCAAACACTTATGCCTGTGTGAGTGAGCAGTTGTTGTTAGTTGCTAGTTGCTGTTGAGTCGAGTCTGATGCATGGCAACCTTATGCATAACAGAATGAAACATTGCTGGGTCCTGCTCCATCCTCAAAATTGTTGATAGGTTTGAGCCCGATGTCAACAGCCACTGTGTCAACCCATCCCATGAAGGATTTCCCTCGTTTTTGCTGACCCTCTACTTTATCAAGCATGATGTCCTTTTCTAGTGATTGGTCTTTCCTGACAACGTGTCCAAAGTAAGCAAGATAAAGTTGCACCATTCTCACTTCTAAGGAGCATTCTGGCTGTATTTCCACAAAAACTGATTTGTTTGTTCTTCTGGCAGTCCATGGTATATTCAGTATTCTCCGCCAACACTACAATTCAAATGCATCAGTTCTTCCATCTTCCTTTTCATTATCCAGCTTTCACATGCATATGAGGGGTTACTCTTATTCCTGACCACAAGATTTAATATTAATCTTTATGAAAATAGGAATGAATCCATTCACTTTTATTTAATATTAATTCTCAATCGACTGCATACTTGGAGAATAGACTTGGTATGGGAGTTCATGGAAATTTGCTTTTTATGACAAATTATTAAGTGCAAATCAACCTTTAATTAATTAATTATACAGCTCTTCGGGTTTAAATCATGGTATGCAGGGAAAAAAACTAGGCTGGGAATTCAAATACCTGTTAGTTCTGCCGCTAAATGAACTAGAACACAAAGTTGGGGCAAATCACAGAATTTCTAGTAGTTGGTTTTTTCATCTTCTTACTCCTAACATTTTATGATTATAAAACCAAAACCAAACTCTTTGCCATCGAGTTGATTCTGACTCATAGTGACCCTATAGGACAGAGCAGAACTGCCCCATAGGGTTTCCAAGTAGCAGCTGGTGGATTCGAACTGTACACCTTTTGCTTAGCAGCCTGGGCTCTTACCCACTGTACCACCAGGGCTCCTTTATGATTATAGGAATCTGTAAATAATCTCATCATTTGCGTATCTGAGGTAATAATCCTTGATGTAAAGGCTAATGGATAAGGAGGAAGGAGGTGTGGTAAGTGGAGGGAGAGAAATCTCTATTAACACTGTCTTCCTTTCTCCTTCCTTGTCTTTTCTACTTCTCTCCAAGATCACATGGTTAATAACTGGAATTTGAACTCAGTTCTGCCTCATTGCCAAGTTCAAGTACTTTCCATTACACCATGTTGCCTTTCAAGTTGTAACATGGCCGTCATGCAGTTTTCCCTGGCTGATGAAAGCAAACGACCTAGGGCCCAGGACTTAATTTGGAGAAAAGCAGCACCCAAAACCCTCAAGCTCTTCCTTATTCCCGCCTTCTTCCCCTCTCTCATGCTACTCATGACTTTAAGTTTATAATCATTCCCCACCCACTCTGGTGCAGTAAGTCCTAAAATAGAAGTTGGAAAATAGATGACCATAAAATTGATGGGAGTGTTTTTAATTTATAGATCTAGGAAAACATGCAGCCTTTTTTTTTTTTGCCATTGAAAACTACTATAAAATCATTACGTGGAAAAGAAATAGTGGGTACATGGGGCTGTGGTGTGGGGGTAGAGAAAGGAATTTGCAATATTCACCGTAGTTTGTGTCCTGAAATTTGACCTTTTCTTTGGTTTAAACTTGGTGTATGTCGGGAAGTATTAAGCAGAATAGAAGTAGAAGTTGTATTGGTGTATCTGTTATTCTTATCTGATGCTCCCCATTTCAACTGCTGATTCTCTGAATTCACATCAGTTTGTTTTGTTTTTAATATAATGAATAATCCATTTGGGGACAGCCAATTTGTCTAGTCAGTAGCAATAATTGTTTATTATATATTTACTATGTCAACCAGTGGCTCCAAAATGAAGAATTAGGAATAACTCCTTGAACTCACATTGTTCCATAGGCGTCTCAACCTCAATATGTCCGGAATGGAACTCCCAGTTTTCCTCTCAAATATGCTGTAACATCTACATGTCCTGTATTAGTTTGTGACACTGTTATCCAGTCAGTTCCATAAGAAAGAAACTGAGAAATCATTTTCCATTTTTCTCTAAGGGCTATTTTAAGACCTGTATATGCCCCAGCACCATTGGCGCAATGGTTAAAGTGCTTGTCTGCTAACCAAAAGGTCAGCGGTTCAAACCCACCAGTGGCTCCATGGGAGAAAGATGTGGTAGTCAGCTTCTATAAAGATTCCCAGCCTTGGAAACCCTATGGGGTAGTTCTGCCCTGCCCTATAGGGTCTCTATAAATCGGAATCGACTCGATGGCAATGGTTAGCTTATATCATACCAAGCACTGTATGCTACATTTAATAATATGTTAAGATTGTTTAAATTTTTTTTTTTTTGTAATTTTGCTTTTGAAATTAATTTTAGTTTTGTAGTTTTTCTTTTGCATTTTGGAGCTACGCCTTTTTTTTTTCATACTTCAAACATTTTTGTATATCCTGGAAAGCAGTAGGTACTATGCCTGTATTGTCTAATGGTTAAGAGGACATTTTTCCTTGCTTATCTCCCACAGCCAAACCCAACAATCTAATTTAGCAAGTATTTCTCAAATATTTCCCTTCCTTTTCTTCTCTAAGTCACTTCCTGAACTAGTTCAGTCACCCTGTGGCCTGCTTGTCCCCTCTAATGTATGCTTCATAGTAACATAAATGATCAATCTGAAAATCTTAATATCTAATGCAGTGATCTGCAAGGTTGTAGTGTTGAGTAGGGCACAAGGTTTCAAACAACACATCTCCCTTCATCACTGACATCTCCCTCTTACCTCTGGGCAGCAGGCCTTAATCTTTCACTGAGGATGTTTGTGTATAATGTGAGGTGCTGTTTAGAGGAATATTATTATATTGTGTGCTGTCATAGTGTCACTTTCCTGAAGTCATAAAAGGTTCTCACTGCAAGGCATATAAGGTCTTTTATGGTTGAGATCTGACTTTCCTCTTATGCATCTTCCCCCATACCCCATCTCATCTTGAATTCTAGTCCAGGCCTTGTCTGGCTTTTCTGCCATTGCTCAGGTTGATTCCTTAGTTCAAGAACGATGGTAGAGGCTCAGTGAAAGTTTGTTATACAAAGTTATGAACTGTTTCAAGGTGACTTTGGATTTTTTCTGTATTTTGATTTTGACAATACTTAGATTAATGAAATAGCATAATAAATATCACTTATGAGTAACCTAAAATAAGAGGTTTGATTGATAACTTTTTTCCTTATGGTTTTCATAGTCTTACAACTAATTCTTTAAAAAATATTTTACAAAGCTTTATATAATTTTTTTCACTAGAAGAAAAAATTTTCTTGTTAGTTTCAGTGATCTGTGGAGTGACAAATGAAGAGATAGGACTAGCCCCCTTTTTTGTAAAATTACCCTTATTACTAAATATCATCATATCACAACTGTCATGTACCCAATGTACATTTTAATAAAACATCCATTACCTCTGGAATCCTCTGTGTACTATGTGTCTCTCCCCTCTCCCATCCTGCTTCCCCATGTTCTACAAAGAGGCAATCCTATCCTGAATTTTGTGATTGTCATCCCCTTGCTTTTCTTTATAAGCATATAACCTATGTTTGTATCCCTACACAATCTATTTTGATCTGTTTTTGAACTTTAAATAAATAGAACATGTGGAATGTGTTCTTCTGTAGTTTTTTCTTTACCATAAGGTCCCGAAAATTAACCTTGAAAAAAGAAAATAAAAAAAAAAAAAAAAAACCCATTGCTGTTGAGTCGATTCTGATTCATAGTGACCCTAAAGGACAGAGTAGAACTGCCCCATAGGGTTTCCAAAGATCAACTGGTGGATTTGAACTGTCGACCTTTCGGTTAGCAGCCTGAGCTCTTAACCACTGAGCCACCAGGGCTCCGACATAGTACATAGCTGTAATTAATTTATTTTCACTACTATGTAACAATCCATTAATTAAATATACGATAATTTGTATCCATACTACTATTGCTAGACATCTGGGTGGTTTCTAGTTTGGAGCTTTTATAAACAGTCCTGCTGTGTATAATCTTT